AAGACGGGGCCCTTACTGACCTGTCAGTGTTCTAGTTTATATAGTGGTCACCTAGAAAAAAATATCTTGTGGGTTGTGAATGACACAAAAAGTGTGCTTCAAGTTTCTAACTCCCTGACCCCGATATGTATGTCTTGTTTTTTGAATATTCAAAATTTTATGGTGGAGAACTGGAGCTTTGGACCTTGAGATATTCTGCATATGAAGTGCTGAACATTATTTAATATTTAACAAGACTTTGTAGGTGTGAATTATGATTATGCAGTGACCAGTGTCTCAGTAGGACAGGTACATTGTATGGCTTTGTTATACTTTAGAACAATTTTTGTTCCAGGCGTTGGAGTATGGAGAGAAGGTGTTTTATGTAGCGAGCGACCATCAGGACAGAACTCTGTGGGCCATGTGTTGAAGCCTTGTTGTACAGGACTCCGAGGACAGTGTCAGCTGTTGTCACATGAACACTGCCAGTTTCTGGAGGGCAGCTTTCATGTCAATGGACCAGAGCACTGTAGCCAGGTATAAAAATATCCCATCCCAATGAATACATTACATATCAGCAAAGGTATATCATGAGTGGAGTCATTGGTTCAAAACTAAATGGATACACAGTGATAAATCTACATGCGAGTCCTGGGTCGTGTTCCCATAGAAGTTTTGATTTGACCCATTACATTTCTGAAAATACTGAAATTTAACATGGTGGGATCCATATATTTTAACCATACATTGGAAAAGACCCATGCAGACTTATTGCAAATTGATCACTGGATACATGATAGTGGAACTGAAGTTCATTCGAGACCATAGTTTTCAGACCTTGGATACATAGGTTCTTATAGGGATGTTGCACCAGAAATATCATTTAAAGTCGGCTGTCATGCTCACCATTTTGATTCTGTTTTCTGTGGAATTTGTTACCATTCAAATCGGGGAAAGTCAGATATAAAATTAAAATAAAGAAAACTTAATCAGATATACCAGGATGATTGAAGTTTTTATGTCATGTCTACACGATAGTTTCTGAGTTGCCTCATATGTCTTAATCTTCAGATGATTTTTTCTGACTGAAAACATTACCAAAAATTGTTCTTGTAACGTTTTCAAGTTGTAGAAGTCAGAGATAATTGAACCCAATGTGCTGTATCACTTAGATATTTGTGTGTGTGTTGAAGGTAAATTGTCTGAGTTCAGTGTGTGGGATGGGAGGGTTAGAGGCAGACCCTATACAACCATGGCTCCCTAGGGACCCTATCCAATGGTGGAGACTACCCCTGTCCCTAGTCTATCACCATGGAGTGATTCATGCTGTCCTCGTGAGCCTTGCCCAGGTGCTACTGTTCAGGAAGATTGAGAGGACCCTTGGTTGGCTTCGACTCACCATTGTCTATCTTATGACAGGATTAGGGGGCCTGCTGGTAAGTCTGGTAGTTATTGTTTTATGGTGACACTTGGGGAAAAGTTGGGAAAAGTTGTTCAAAAGCTCTTTCCTAGCTATCAATCTAATTGCAAGCATCCTTATTAAGGGTACTACAAAATGTACTTGGCTTAACATGTGTGTCATAGTAAGTTAAGATGTGATTTTAGTTATGTTCTCTTGCAGCCTTGTCTAAATTGTTGTTCGATATTCTGGCAATTTTCCGTAATTTATTTTTTAATTCTTTGATTAATTGGACTTATCTTAAAATGATGTTATTTTTTGTGATTCATTTCACAATTACATTAATGTCTGGAGTTTTGAAAATTGTTTTATACACTTATCTTGAAGGGAAATATTCATCTTTGTCTGACATGTCAGTGAAAATAAAGATCTATTTTGATGAAACAGCAAATATATTACTGTATATGAATGATAACTAGGAGGTGTGCCATGAGTTATATTTGAGGACCGGAAACATGATGTCCAGGCCATTTTTTCTCATTTTAAAACCTTGAACTTGTGAAATATTTATATGTTGACGGAGTCAATTTTGTGTTGGTATTTCAGACTGCTGCTGTCTTTAATCCCTACGTGCCACATGTAGGTGGCACAGCCACAGTGTTTGGGATGGCTGGTTTAATCACAGTAGAACTGATACACTACTGGCACATTGTCAAAAAACCTGCTGTGGAGCTGACAAAGATTTGCGGACTTTTAGTGGTCTTCTTGATGCTTGGTACCCTTCCTTATATTGACAATTATAGCATTGTGTCTGGATTCCTCTTGGGTGTCATATGCTCCGTCTTGTTCCTGCCTTTCTTGTCCTTCAGGCAGCAGCAGAAGCACTGTCGCATTGTCCTTCTGTGTGTTGGTGGACCCTTAATATTTCTGGTGTATTTTGTCTTGCTTTATGTTTTTTATAAGGTACAAACTTTTGAAGAATGTTCTGGATGTAAATTGTTTAATTGTGTGCCATACACAGAAACAATGTGTGACCCCTCATTGTGGACGCAAGAATAAGAAAGTGGTATCATATATATATATATATAAATGATGTATTGTACATTAAAACAAGTTTATAATAAATATTCATGGTGTGGTGAAGTTTTGCATTTAATAAAGTTATTAAAGTTAATTTATGCCCTGCTTGAAAGGAGTTGTTCCATGTATATTATCAATATCAGATTTCAAAACAAATTTGACCTATTACAACATTCATTGCACCAATTTCACCAGGGTTCATAATAAACAAATTCTAATGAATACTATAGTTTCTTAAATGCCAGAAAGAAGTGTTGTGGGGTTGTAGGTGGTTGGGGTTGAAATGGAGGCTTATAAATAAAACGTAAGTTAGTTTGCTTGTAACGAAATCTAAAGACAACATATTTTAACAATAGGCCTAAGGGCCTAATTAATAGCTCACCTTGTATTTGATTTTCAATTTAAAACCTGCTGTGTATATACCATACCAGTTATCAAAGGAGTACAATTAATTTAATTTGCAAGAAGAACTTATGTACACCTGTTTGGGTTGGTAAGATACCAAGAAGATGAGTGTATTCTTCATGCCCAGCAATTTTGTAAATGGTTATGGCATGGGGATC